CTAAAGTGACAAAAAAACGCTAAATAATCGAAATTTTTTCGCAGAAACTGTCAATACTCATAAACAATCATTGAGTTTTGCAATTTATTTATGGTCTACTAATTCACATCTCTTGTAAAGAAAATGCACATCACATTTTATCGTTAAGTCATTTTTTTTATGAGACTCTTTTAATTTTCATATTGTAAATGCTTTTAACATATTTGATGAATATACGTGTTTATATTACAATAGATTACGAACTGTTACAGTTCAAAAGAAACAGTTTTTGATTTTCTAAAAAACACACATACACGCTTATTCATCAGGTAACTGTGAAAGAATAACAAGGCATAAATTTACACTTTTAGATTACATTAAAAGCTTGTTTATTCTATTAAATTTCTATTAAAGTATGGCTGTTGATAAAGTTACTTATTAAAAAAATATTTTTTTGCACCAACCACTAAATTCAGCAAGAGCAGATGATAGTACCGATATTGTTGGCCAATTCTTTGATCGGAAACACCGTAAACCGCCATAAGCAGAAGATGAGAAGTGTTTTCTGCATTCAGGGTTTCTACGTAGGATTTGTCAAAAATCTTTTGCAGTTTCCGTTTTTATTGTATGTTTTATTGTGAGCATTTTTTAGTGAATGCTAAAACAACATTCTTTTGCATACATCAATAACTGGTGTATCTGACCTCCCAGGAGTAGAGGCAGAGTATGGCACCATAAAGCCAATATAAATTATCACAAAAAAACAGGAAAATACTTGCCTAGATAGCAGATATGAGATGTATTTTGAAATTAGGGGTAGTATTATTATTCAGCCTACTAGATATTAGCAACATGTAATAATATTCATGAAATAAGAAGTTCTTTGGAATTATACATATTTTTTTATACATTTGATAGCGAATAAAGTATTATAATGCAGATTTTTTAATCATATTTCAGAATAAATCGTCATCTTTAATATACCTGAAAAGTTAACTTCTCTCTAAGCTTGTAGCAAAGGATAACTGGATGCCAACTGCGCTCTTCGAAGATTGGAAGCTAACTGAGTGAAACGCGAATGGGACTAGCTAGCTTCTACCTATGGCAGTACAGTGGATCTAACGCTTAGTAAACTACTATATAAATTCAAAATCCTCCGAAATTTAATCGGATCTATTAAAGGAACTGTAGAACAGATAATTAATTCAAATAATCTGTTACACTTATGGGTCATATTGCTTTTTTTGAACACCGTACGTGTGAAGTCTCTGCTTGAGATCACGTGTTAAATATCTCATACTTGAAAAATTTCTAAGTTCCAGACAGTCAAACATCACTTTTTCAGGGCCGATTACATGGTAACTAAAAGTGATATCGGAAAAATAATTTCGGATGTGCTACATTCAGTGTCAGCAGTACCTGTTGGTCCTCCTCCCGATATTGAACGATTCCAAATGACGAAGAATGATGAATGAAAACATTGAAGAAAAAGGGTAGAGAATGAAAGACTAGATGCCAACTACTCTGGGAGCAGATTGAAAAGCCGACTGAGTCAAACACTTTAGACACCGTTTGAATCCCTTCCATACGGTTAGAACACTACAGTTCTCTATCAGTAAACATTTTGATGCATTCTATCCGTAATAGTGTTTCAGACCCTAAATGCATCAAACTACATGGAAGTATTCAGCTGCATTTACCTTCTACAGCATATTATTCACATTATCATATCAGCTGATTCATTACCCTATCATACATTCTGCTATAGCTTTCATCATGTCAAGCACTATAGTCTATATTCACTACGAAGGATATCACGTGACGATGAATTATCTAATAGGAGAAACGATAGAGTTTGCTGAAAAATATACTCATTTTGTGGCACTGATTATAGGATAACTGAAGCAAATATCCGACAACTAACTTCAGTGTCATGTACGATGCTTCTACTTTCGAATCATCTTTTCTCAAATCTGTATGATTAGAGATAACTGAGAACGATGGGTGAAAATATCAGAAGAACGGGTAGAGAAAGTAGAAGAACAAATGACTCGAAGTGGAAGGCAATAACCCAAGGGGAAAACAGCAGACTTCTGGAGTCCCATATAGTACCATAAGCTCCCATGAAGTCCCTTAGAGTCCCAAGGATATATATTTTTATTTTATTTTGTATTCGTGAAACTATGCTATATTTTATTGTTTGTTTATTAATTATGATCAAAAATATATATTGAGAAAGATAAATTTAAAAGCTTTGCCAAGATTGAAAACAAACGAGTCATAATAAAGGAACTATGCACAATGTTATTAGAGATGTTGTATTAATTGTTGATACATAGTAATAGGTTTTCATACAATAGCAACACTTCTACGAACTTCTAGAGTTCAGGAGTCCAAGAGTCTGCTATATCCCCCTTGCAATAACCTGATTTTTCACTCAGTCAGCTTAATAAAACTGATAGATTCAGACTGACTGATACCATTCTCATTACATTTCTTCAGTATCAACGCTAAATAACAGATTCTACCGGGCGGCTTGTCTACGTAACGCGACACTTCGCTGCTCAAGTTCTTTTTGAATTTTTTTCATCGGAAAATCGATAGGGGCACATCACTAGACGCAGCTTTTCATGCTGACCACAGATCTGACTATTTTTGAAGAAAAAAATATAATTAAAATTATAAGAAAAATATAAAAAAATTAATTTTCAATATAAAAATTTTTAATTTTAACTTTTTAAAAAGTTTAATTTTGATTTTCTGACCTGGGCATTTTGGTCGAAAAATTTTAAAAATATGCTATTGAATAGAGAATTCAATTCTCCACAAAATGGCTCATTTTGTTTTGAGATCTATTTTTCAGTCGAGACACAGTGGCTCCTTGAACGTTTCAACGTCCGCCTTGAGCTGAAAGCCTCAGAGAATTTTTCGAACTTTATTTTCAACTGCAGTCTTTTCAGGAAAATCTAGAACTACACAGACTATAAGTATGAAGTTTTTTTAACAATGTTTAGTGCCTAAAAATGGTGCGACAAAAAAGTGTGTTACAGCGTTACTTTACAAAATCGACTTTTCGAGGCGTGCGGAAGGATTTAGAAAAAGCTCTTTTACCAGAAAAAAGCCCGTTAGCTCTTCTACAAACTTGCTTCTAGAAACTTTTCAGATGCACAGCTCAATTCGCAGGAAATCAGAGCTGTATCAAGAGTTCTCATAACACAGGGACCTTTTCTGTCACAGTGTTAATCGCCGAAAAATCTTTTTGAAAGTTCGAGTCTTGGATCGAAAATCTTCATTTTTATACCGTAATTAGAGTTTGGTAAGCTGCATTGAATGGTACTAGAACGAACTTTCTAGCTCCTACATTTTTCGAGAAAAATGCAAATTACTGTGTCAAAAATGTTACAGCGTTACCTTTGGACAAGCCGCTGGGTAGAATTCAACTCTACCTATATATTGAATACAATTGTTCCCGTCACTAAAAGGATCTTAAAAAATGAATAAATAGTGAGTGAGAAGTAGATGAATGTAAAGTGCACATACCTTTATCGATAATGAAGATCAATAGACTGAAAAGTACCGATGTAGGCACTGTATAAAGGAAGGGGCAAGTAACGCGAATATGGCGCACCGTATAAGATGCATCTACTTAATAATATAAACTGAAAAGGAATAAAAACCTACTGAGATTCAACTTTGTTTAACCATTTTGAATACGTCCCTGCAGGTTCGATTGTATGACAATCTGTAATCTGTCCTTTATTGCGTAAAAATTTCTTACCGTTCTAGTAGCTTTTTCCATTAGGTGCAGGAGACTCGAAGAAAGTAGGAGAAAAAGACGATTTGGGCAGCGTGACGCGAGAGAGGAAGAGTGCAGAGAAAGAAAAAACAATCAAAGAAACTAGGATCGGGAATCAGTCGGAAACTTTCAGTACCCAAAGGGGCGGATACTGAAACAACTTTTGCGAAAAAGTATTTGGTAAGTTTTTCCTTTTTCATCTCAAATTTCTCATAAAGATATCGCTACTCAGGTCAGTGTTCAAATTCACTCAATTTTCGACGCCGGATTCAGTCTGAAATTGCCGATTCCATGCCGATTTCATGGACGTGGATAATATGATTGGACTACTGAGATGAGCGAACTTTACAATCACCTATCTCGCTAGTAGTGAAAAATTTTTGCTGTTGAATGAGAAGACCCCCTTTTTCAAAGCTGTGTATTTAATAAACTTTAGTTCTGGTCATGTGTTGACTAAATATATCAGTGGAAATGAAGCTTGGAGCCTCCTATTCTGTGATTTTTTAAAAATCTATTCCAAAACATTTTATCTGAGGATTACAGTGGGACGTGGACGGCTTAACCTTCAACCTGACTGACGTATAAAATTTTTTATAACCGGTCGGGTTCTACCTGCGCCTAAAGAGTCATTGCTCTGCTTTTTAAAAAATGAATTCTCTATTCGTTCGTTTCTTTGTATTAAACATAGCAGTAAGCAATCTTCTAAATACTTAATTTTGATCGATGATTTTCCTTACATTATTGCGAAAGTGATTTGAGAAGAAAACAATCTCTACAAATCCTCTATCCAGATTCTACATGAAGTTTCCCTAACGACTATTACTAGTGTTAGTATAATATATGTAGTACAAACCAACTTATTTAGTCAAAGATTCCTTAAGAGATGAACGGTTACTTGTGTTTTAATTTATAAAAAACGATTGGTCAAAAACAAAAGAATGTGGTTATAACATCAACGATTAGGGATGACGCAAACAAGCAAACGTATTTTTTTATAAACACATCATATAACGTTAAACTTTTTGTAAAAAAATAAAAATGTAAAACAAACTGAAGAAGACACATCAGGTACAAATAAAAATTTTTTTTGAAATAACGACTGGATATCACTTATTACAGAGGTTGTTCTGAACGCCTGTGGCTATTTGATGGCGATATAATAAAAAAACAAACAAACAAACAAAAGCTTTGTACAGAAAAAGAAGCGAGTGTATACGTGGTATTGCTAAGCTGGCGTTGAAATTGATTTAAAATATGTTGATAAATTGTTGCTGGTCGTTGATGAGGAAGTTGATGAAAGAGATGATGAGTTCAAACTATTATTAACACCGTCAAAAACTAATGATGATGACAATGTCATAGAGGACATGGGACTTGTTTTACATGTCAATGATAAATTTATTAATTGTATTTGTTTTTCAATTAACTGTGTTTGTTCTTCAATATCTTTTAGATCCATGTGTAATGTTGATTTCATTTTAATATAATAATCATAGTCAGCATATAGTTCATCATTTAAGTATTTTCGTATTATATCACATACTAGACGACTTCGACGATCAATACCATCTTTTAACGTTTTTGCTTCATCATATTTCAATTGCACTTTATCACGACGTTCAATTAGACAATTCTAAATAGAAAAATAGTTCATTTAACTTGCTTTGACCGACAGTTAATTTTCAGTAATTGTTCCTACATTCAAATAATCCTACCACTCTTCTACTTACTGCGTTTACTAGGACATATGACCTTTTTTTCCGCTATAAAAGTTTACTCATCAAATTCTACACGATGAATTATTAGTTGAAAGAGACATTGCACAAAAGTTTACCTTTGTTCTTTCATCGGTATTTTCTGATAAACATTGAATATCATTCTCAACTTTTGCTAAACGACTGCTTAATCTCAATAAAAGATTTGTTATTGTATCAATTTCATTAATATGCATTTTAATTTTGTCTACTTCAGATGGTTCAGCCAATTTCTCAACAATACTAATTAACTAAAATTAAAAAAGATCTCCAAGTATAATTTTATGTAATTTTTAAAGGGTTTGTATACTCTTTATCCATTCTATTTACCTTGTTGCCTAATAGTGTATTTTGTTCCGTTTCATTTGTTATTTCAAGTTGATTTTCTTTTAACGTTTGTAATCGTCGTTGTAAACTTAAAATGAGTTCTTCCTAAAATTAAAAAAACAAATATCGTAAAATTAGTGACATTAAGTACTTTGGAAAATTTAATATTTACTGCTTGAATATCACTTGGATCAACACTATCACTAAATACTGTTCGTTGTAAATAATCAGGTAAACTGGATATATCAGTGGTGTCAAGTCTAAATGATAAAGATATCTATCTATATATATATATATATTTCACAAACCATCTTTTCAGCATTGTCTATACCTTTCTCCTGCATTGGCTCTTGATTTTGTTCGCCTCGATCTATCTGGAGCGGGAAAAAGAGAACGTGTATAATCTGTGCTTAATCGATGGTCTGTTGGCGATAGAGCTAGTTCATACAATTGTTTATTATTTGGATGACGACTAGCATATGCCTTTAGATTTGTTTCAAATTCATATTCTTCACGCGATTTATAACGTTTTGGTGGTGTACGAACAATACTTGATGATAATGATGATGATGATGATGATAAGGGAATCTGATTTTCTACACGTTGATGTCCCATTATATTATTTGACTTTGTTGAATTAGATGCGTCATTATTAATGATGGTGGTACTTTTTGATAAAGTATTCATACTTTTACGATAATTTTCATTTGATTTTGATCCCATCAGTGATGAATTAAATGGTGTAGCAGAAAATAAGCCTGGTTTAGCTAGTGAATATGTTTTTGATACGGATAACAGTCGAGTTGTAGATTTAAGTGAATCGAAATTTTGTTCATCATTTTGTTGTAATGATGATTTTGTATCACTAGTCATGGAATTTGTTAATAAATCAGTATTATTATTATTATTATTATTCATGGGTTTGCTGATTCGAGTTGGCTTACGAGAAACAGGTGGTGGAGCAGAAGCTATTACGTGTGAAAGAGCATCATCATTTGAATTCATTGTATTCAAAGCTTCGTCCTCGTTGTTAAATACACCGGTAGTTTTATTTTTATTATTATCAAATTGACGAGCAGACGAAGTTAATGAACGTGATGATTGTTGCTGAGAGGGTAAATCATTCCATGAACGTCTAAATATAATATAAAAAATTAGTATCCAAAAGTAGATTGTACCAATAATCCAAATTTCTCATTCAATCTCTGTTGCTTTATTTCTAAACTAAGTAGAATAAGTTATGAATTAAAGTTATTTTTTGAGTGTTTTCGTCTGTCTTAATTGCAAAAGAAATACAGTAAAAATTAGATAATTATTTCAGCTATTTAAGAGTCAAAACATGATGTTCAAAGTCCAAGCACAAATTATTCTTAAGTAAGAGGTAATACACTTGTTTTCTCAATAGAAAAATACACAGCATGTATATCGAATGCAGTATGATTTCATTACTCTTACGTAATTACCAGACAATGAACTTTAAAAATTACAGGACAACCAAAATTGACTGATAACTCTTTGGGTTTTTCTTGCTGTTAATAGAAAATGACATCATTTAAAGATAAGAGAAAATCTCCAAACAAAAAAGAAAAAACACTTCAAAAATTGCTATCGTATATGTTTCACGTGTATATGACGAGAGAGAAATGGTAATCATCTGAATTTTTTCGTCTGTAGTTCCCTCTATTGCGATGTTCGTCAACGTTTAGTTAATTATGAAAAGTTATTTCGTTATTAGTCTTGTTTATGTGTTTACTAACATCGGTAATCAAATCTAAACGTGATACTTATTATTACATAATTATAATAAGTTTAATCCCCTCAAAACATTTTTGGGATCTAGTTTAAGCTGACTAAAAATGAACAATAAGCTAGCTCAAGTTAGGTAAATGTTCCTTTATAGCTAGACCCGTTGAGTCCCAAATTATTTTTGCTAAGTTGAATTGAAGCAGATCGTTATATTAACTTATTTTAGGCACAGACTTATCTCTCCTATTTCTCCACATAAGTGCATCTGCTGATTCTTCATTGCTTCATTTCAAGAGATTACGTACAAATGTTTATAAAATTATGTTGTGAAAAATAATTATAAAACATGTGTAACATTTTTGCCACTATGGAACTCAAAGGGCAAAGGTAGATCAAAAAGACGTTTTTCTGCTTGAAGTGGTAAGGACATGACCTGTTCTATTTATATCCTATTTTTTTTAAAAATGTATTTTGATTGTAAATAAAACTTAATTTGTTTTTGTTATTATTCACATATAGATTATACAATCAATTATGTACATACTATTTCTATTATTAAGAGGGCACCCATTGCAACAATAATAATATCCTATAGGCACGAGCGCCAGATATATGACGAATATGCTAGATATAATACTACTACATCAACAACACAACATTGCACAGATAATATAATTCATTTAAACTGATTCAGTTATATGAATTATGTGCTAACAGTTAGATGATATCAGCTGTAGACAAAATAGAATGCCCACTGGAATAGAAATAGTTGTCTATTGTATTTCTCTCAGGGAATTTTAGACTTCTGTCAAGAAATAGTGTTCCTTTAAAATAAAATGCGTAATTTCTTTTGACGTGTGTACACAAACTATTTTGCGACTTTCACTCGTGATCACCTGCAAAGAGAAAAAAATGTTTCGTTCACAGATGTCAATTTTTTTTCACACATGGGTTCATATAACATGGGTGTACATGCCGTGAACGCTACTAAAACTAGGCATTGCTTCGTTTAATAGTCATTTTTATTAAAATGATGATAGTAATCTTTCTATAACTTTTTTGTAATATATTTTCAACGTTTCTTCCTGATAATATTTAATTTATAGATACATATATTTTCTCTCAATGTATGAAAAACTGACATATCTGAGATTTTTTCATAGCTAATCATCATCGCTTATAACTACATTATCGAAAAACAAAATAATAAACTGTTTCTAGTATAATCGAGATCTATTACTCTGTAACACGCAGAGAAATGGATGATTATTGATCATTATACAAATATGCACCTGTTTAATTTTTGCGATGGCGATGTAAAAAGACATTTTGTTATCAATCAACAATACCCTTTCTCGATGTAATCCAACAATAAATAGATGGGTGATTTTGTCAAACATACTCTTTCATCACCTACTGTGTATAAGAAATAAAATGTCGCAATATTTTTCTGTTTAAGAGCGTAAATGACAAAAAGAAAAAGAGGAAGACATGCTAGTCTAGCCTTGGATCTATAACTCTTCATTATAATTTATAGTGTACTCGAAAATAGAATGCGAAATTGAATTATCTAAATGTCAAATACAATTTGTTTCCAGTTGAACTGCTAAGTACAATATTTATCTATCTCGTTTCCCAAAAAGTTTCATGTTTATTTTTATTGAATTTATAGCATATATATGTGGAGAATTCAAGTTTGAAGGATTCATTCTTGTCAAAAAAACATGACTTTCTCCTCCTAAAATGTCATACCTGGTTACATTTCGTTGATTTAATTGTTGCTTTGATGTATCGTATAATGATTGATAATCTAAGTTTTTCTTATTGTAATATTGTCCATTACCATTTACAAGTGTATTATTATTATTATTATTATTATTATTGTTGTCATGCATCGGGCCTATGCGTACTGATAAATTTCTTGTTGTTCCATTTGCATTCGTTGACGTTGGACTAGAATTTTTATTTGATAATGACGACGAAGAAGATAGAGATGATGAGACGGGTGATACACTATTACTCAATGATAATACACTATTACAATTATTATTGTTGATGTTTAGATTTGTTGTTGGGGTTGTTGCCGCTGTATTATACTCAGCATAAATACGATTTTCAAAAAATTGTCTTTTCAATTGAAAATCACTTGGTACCCGTTCGATTGTTTGATGATGGCTATCATTTGATGAAGTAGATTTGGTTGTCTTTGTCGTAATTGAAGGTGGTGGTGGTAGTGGTGATGATGGTTTCGTTGTTTTTGTGTAATAGACAATAGTCGAATTTGCTGGCGAAACGAATGCCAATGATGCCGAATTCGAGGAAGTACTCATTGAAGGAGTCTGATTTTCATGATTTTCATTATTAACTAATGTGTACATCATTTTATTTGTTGGCATTGATATTGAATGTTTCATTGTCGTTGTTCTTGATGATGAAAAATAATCATCTTTTTGATGAAATTTAACCGGTGATAACTGTTTTTTTTCGTTGTTATTATCGGTATGTAATGTTGTACTGCTAGTGACAATCACCGGTTGACGATAGACAGTGGTTGTTGCTGATTTTGGACGTTGAACATAAATACTACTTTGTTCTTGTTTTGAAGGATAATGATCGATGTCAAATGTGATTGGTGATGATGATGGATACTCTGTAATGGTTAAATGAGCATTTGGTGAAAATGATGTTGAATAATGATTAATTGGAATGGTTCTCGTTGCTGATGGTGATGATAAGAGTTGAGAATAAGATGTTGGATTATCATAACCATCATAAGCTTGTCTATAACTATAGGACTTTGTTGTGTCATTTAAAGCATCTTTTGATAATGAACGTACAAGACAATAGCCATCATTTGTTCGTTGATATTCTGGTAAATTATCGTACGTAGTTTGATCATCATTATTATGAAAATAATAATTCGAAAACATATTCATCTTATTTGATGGTGATGGTTGACGAAATGTTAATAAATTATGATTATTAAGAAACGTTTGTTTTATTGATCGAGATTTTTCTCGTAAACGTTCTTTATATTGCTGTTCTTCGTCGGTATTATTATTTATACCTTCTAATGATGGTGAATTGGATTTTGATGAAAATGCTAGAATAACAAAAGGAATAATTTTAAAAAAACTTTAACAATTTTTCCCTCAAGAAATCTGCTTTTTTCATTCATCGCCGCACATTAGAGAATCGGTCAAAATAAGATTTTATATATATATAAAAAATGACACGAATACACACACATACAGAAAGACAGAAAGAGAAACAACAAAAATATTTTTTATCAAAAATGACAGTTTTTTATTTTCTAAAAACGTCACGTTGATATCAAATTACTAGAATTTTATTACATCATTTGAAGAATCCTTCGTGAACACTTAGACATTTATAAAATTTAGTAAGAGTATTGTAGCTTACAATAATGATTTTAATTTTTTTTTTTTGCTTGTCTGGAAAATCACTTAAAAATAAGAGAACAGAAAAAAATTGACAGTTACTCTATACCTTGTTGTATTTAACTAACAATGAATTTGTGAGCCTTGATATAAACATTTCTCATACAAAAAAAAACTTCATGCCTATTATATATGCTAAATTTAACGCAGTATGGTTAATAAAAACTTAAAAATCGAATGCTTATATCTATTCAAGGTATATCGATCAAAAAAAAACAAAAAAAAACAGGCATCATGTGACAAAAATAGACTACCGATATTTTGTTTCAATATTTTAGCATATAATTTACACACTATATTCTATCGATTTTTAAAAGTTTAAATTCTCGAATTATTTATTATACTAGAACATAAACATCATTATTTAATTATTATTACAAAAAAGACTGTAACACTATTAGGAATTAGACGTAAAAATTATCTGTACATACTTTTTGCTGAACAATTGTATTTTCTCAATAAAAATCTATAAATAGGATTATTATTTACTGGATTTTTATTTTCACAATTAATTAATAGAATAAATTTTTGATTAGCATACATTTTATGATTTATGTATGTTGAAAATAAACTAGTTTAAAACAAAATGGAAGCATGAACATTTTAAATAAATACACGAACAAAAAGAAAATTTACTCGTATAAAGTAAAAAAAAAAAATTTTTTTTTTTTTTTGTTTGTTGTTGTTTATGTATGTACACTCTTGATTTATATTATTAATAGTAATAACACCTTGAAGGATAAAAAAATGTGTAGGAAACGAATAGTTTTGAAAAAAATAAAAAATAAAAAAAATATGACCCTTCTAAAAAGAAAATAATGATAATTGACCTTACGTTCGTTCGTTCGTTGTTGTTTACGTTCGAAATATGAATAAAATGAAAAAATTAAATGTCGAGATATAGGAATAAATGGTCAAATTATATAAAAAATAAAATAAAATAAAAATATATTCCTAATATACACATGTATAACATATTCAAAGACAATCAATGTCAAACTGATTAAAACTAATATTCTTTTCTCTTTTTTTTTTCTATCCGTATGATAAATAGTTTTTTCATGTTTTCTTCTACTCTTCTAATATTTCTGTACATACCAAGATCATAGATGAGAAGAAGAAGAAAGAGTGAAAATAACAATAATTTATTATTATGCTTTAAATTTTATCTATTATTAATGAAAAAACAGCATGATATGCCAGAAAAACGTTTTATACGACGATGACGATATATATTTATTATAAATTATTTTTCGCCCTTAAAATAATGAGACTATATAACGAACTCAAAAATTAAAATATCAAAATAACAAGATCATTATCATTAATGAATTATTATTTAAAAAAAGAATCATAAAAACAAAGCGTCTATATTACATATATACATTTTTTTTTGTTTTGTTATTCGACTCTTCTTTGTAAATTATATGATAAAAACAAAACAAAACAAAAAAAGAAGCAAAATAATTTCGTTTTTTGTAGTTTTTAAGATTGTGTTTTCGGTACACGGTATCTTCTAACCTCGAAAATATATTCAATAATAATGTTTGTTTTGTGTCGATAAAAAAAGAAGAAGAAGAAGAAGAAGACGAAGAAAAAAAATCCAATTTGCTTCTTTTTTTTTTTTATTTAAATATTATGTTTTCGTTTTGTATGCTTTTTTAAATGTCTATGTGTGTTTTATTCATTGCAACAAAAATTAAAAAATATATGCGTATTAATAACTAGAATAATGTGATATCAACTCAAAATAATATCAGTTTTCAACATGGAGATGATATGATGATAAAAATTTTTAGATTTTAGTTTGATCAAAACTTTAGAAAGAATGAAAATTGTGAAAATATTACAATACTTCTACTCTGTTTAGTTAAATCAAGGTTTAATATAAAAGTGGTATGTAAATTGTTGTGGACTAGTATTTTCTCTTATATGAAAGAACACGACAACACGCCTTCTACAGTTCTCACATCATTAATATCTTAAATTGACAATGATTATCTTCAGCAAATTTCAATAACATAACTCTGTATAAGAACAGAATTATATTGAAACATTAAACAGAAGATTCTGTATAACATAGTAGTCATGTGATTAAATGCATTTTTTGAAGTCTGTCTGAGAAATTAGAAAAATAACAAAAAAAATGAAGCAAATATAGAATAAATAATATTTTTTCAACATATTCTCCAATAACAAACACAGACGATAATTATGTGTAGTCGCATTCCACTTAAAAATGATGTGTGATTATTTATTACAAAAAAAAAAAAAACGTATTTTTAGAGTCTTTTGACTTAAACTAAAAACAAGATAGATGATTAATTTTATGCCGTTCGCTATATATCTAAATTAACAACCATTTATTTCTATACACATGTTTACCTATGTATGTCATCGAAAATCAGTGCTTCTAATTAATTGAGAGAGAAAGAGAGAGAGACAAGTATCGATGAATAACGAAATGTAGCTAACTATAACATCATATTCTATAAAATATAGGACAAAAAGCATTATTTTGTGCTTTAGTATAAACCTAAAAATATCTTCTTACTGTGTTTTCCCACATTAATAGTGCCTTCATTATTTACGTTAGTGTAAACTGTAGAGGTAGAAAAAGTCATCATAATACTTACGTTTATTTATGATAAAACCATTTCCAAAACTATTTGTTTTCTTATAGTCTTTATTAAATGATTGTGCATTACCATTAACACGATTTTTTTCATATAATGTTGCTATACTTAAACTTGTTTCTTTTGTTTGGGGTGTTAAACAAGGGTGTCCATCTCCATCTTGGTGATTATCAATCGATTTTGTACGTATTTTATTATTATTACGAAAATCATCCTGGTTGTTATTGTTATTGTTGTTAATATTTATGTATGGCTGCTCAGTGCTATCAAAACCACTATCATTTGTTCTACTCAAATCTGAGTAATGATTACTTTGATCGGTCCAATCATTATGAGATCCATCAAGGTTAGATGTTGATGACCAAACACTGTTTACATTGTTTACAGATGCTGAAGAACTAAATTAGAAGGACATAATTATCATGATGTAACAAGAATGTTACAATCATAAGATGATCGTTTGTTTAAGGTATATTTCATACATTTATAGAAATGAATTTGTTATAATTGTAGGAGATTTTCAATTTTATAACAAAAAAAAACTTGTCAAAAACGTAATACCTGATAAAATAGCGTTCACGTCGATAAAATGCATTCGTTTGAAACTTTAAAGTTAGAAATCAAGTGCTGCTGCTTCTGATTTCCGATTCTATCTCCGTGTTCGTAATAATTATTAGTATCTCAAAATCAAGAACAAAAGAGTGGGACTCTCTAGCAAGGTACTACGCAATTTTCTCTTTCTTTTCCTATTTTCTTTTGCCGTTTTCTTTCTTTGAGAATAATGTCAGTCATTATTAAATATATATCACCTGCACAACTATTTGGTTACTACTTAGAGAGCGAGGGAGAGAGACTATGCCTATTGTAATTGACGTCATCTCACATAATAGAGGAAAAAAGAAAGAGAAAGAAGAAGAAAAATAAAACCGAGCACCACTATGAGTGATAAACAAAATTCTTAAACTAAAAACGAAACAAAAATTAGAATAAAATATTTTACTTTTCTCTCTTTTTCGTGTTACGCATATTTTTACATTTATCCGTATAACTTAAAAGAAGGGAAACAAAAAAAGTTGCTTCCATCCATCTATTTAGAACAAAAACGAGGACGTGACATATGTATCAAAAAAATCTTTTGTCAAAAAATCAAAAACGATTATCGATGCAATAATCTAACGCCTTTTCTTTCCCTCTCAATCTAATACATATTTAATCGTTTAAAAGGCCAAGAACATGTATATATACCTGATGATGATCGGTTGAAATAGGGCAGATGTTGTGGGATTTGGGTTCGGAAATGATGTTGTAGATATCAAATCATCTTTACACTAAAAAGAATAAAAAGAAATGATATTGTTCAATTTGATAAATGACAGTATAGTTATACGAGACGATTAATTTCATGTTTTGTTTGACAATCAACGCTTACCAAAAATTCACAACTTTTGGATTTTCTATTCCATATCATCGTATTCATTCATTATCTAACTACTTATGCACACTCAAATCAAAGATATCTATAATAGGATCCACGTTATGACACATTTTTACATAATGAGTTTTTATATTCGGATAAAATTTTACCTTTATTCACAAGCGAGGACATGTACAAGTAAAAAACTGTTTGAAAAGTCATTCATCCTGCTTCAGCGCTCAAGATCCTTAGTCAGAGAATCCATTACAATAACAATAGTCTATTTTTTTTCTCTATCAGAAGAAACATTACATATAGCATGAACAGATTAATTTATGTCTTCGGAATCTCCGTCCGATCTCGTTTGAAATAAAGTTACGAAGTGTGAAGACATCCGTCGCCTACATTAGTAGCACGCAATACATACAGAAATTATAAATGATAGAGAAAAATATAAAAATTTTTGTACTATAAAGTATATGTAATACTAGCTGAGCAACTGATAGATCGGAAAAAATCGGTTTCAACTTAAGTTTACAAAAAATATCCTCATCAGTAGTTGTAAAATTAAAAAGTTGACTCTACATATCAGAATGACTCCCTGTAAAAAGACGTGTTCGTAGAAATAAAGTACTTAGACCGTTTGAATGAAAAAGTAGTTTTACACCATCGACAACTTGTGGAGCACTTTGAAGTAAAATAATGCACTACACACATATATATGCGAGCAAACAAGAGAAATAAGATCAAAGGAAAGAAAATAGATCTTTGCCGTACAACGTAACTCGTCACGCTGATTTCGAATATATAAAAATCTCGAGGTACACTTCTCTAGAAAAGACCATCAAATTTTGATCTGAGATCATTCGTTCCTCTGTAACATGCGAACTACAACATTTGATAACTTGGAGTTTTAGCAGACATATAGTCTATGTGAAATGGTAATCATCTAGCAAAGTTTCGTCTTATCATTTATAGTTAGCCTCACTCTCACCCTATCCCATCCTTCCAAGGTCCACTTTTGGTTCAGAAAATAAACAAGTTTTATCATAGAAAGTTTAAAAATAGCATAACTCACCAATTATAAATGATAAGAAGATTGAAACTTTGATAGACGATCAGCATTTTACATAGACTATATTTCTGCTAAAACTTCAACCCAACAAATGTTGTAGTTCGCATGCTACAGAAGAAAAAGAAAGAATAGTCTTATAGACTACTAATAAAAATTTGACTACTTTATTGTCGACTACTGTATTGATTTAAAGGATCTCATAGCAACTTATCCTTTTTCAAAATCAACAACTTATTTTTATCCTGTGAATAAAAACTAAAACAACTGAAACAGATACGCTATCTATAGATATAAACATAACTGAAATTTGAAAAATGACTTTTTTTTGTCGAGACAATTTCTCTGCAGAAGCAGAAAGAAAGGCCAAAACTGTGATCGTTTCATTTGTTATGATTAAAAAAAATAAGACTAGTTTATTAAACTCGTATAGTTAATCACTTTCAAGCGGAAAATGTAGAGTCGAAATATACGGGATTATTGATGCTTGTAAAAATGTCGATATAAAAGAGAAAATTATTGAATATTTTCGTTAACAGCATGCTTTTTAGTTCAAGAATTATTCGTGAGAAAATATAAGACAGACACACTTCTTATGAGAAAGACTCCGATACAAATACATATTAGAAGCGCCAAGAAGTCAAGAACCAGTGTTTTACTGCTAAGATCTTGGCAAAAAAGTTCTTCAAAATTTTGCCTGAAAATTCTTTTTGGATATTCATTTTGTGTATAAAACTTATAGTCATCGTACAAATTTTTATAGTTGTAAACTACATCATTAGACTTATCCTTGAACAATCATGCTTAAGAAAGAAAAAATTTCAAAGTTATTCGAAGTATGAAAATATTCGCACTTGTATGCAAACAATTGTATAAAATAAAACGATACTTCAAGCAATACGAAAAATCTAGAGAATTTTTATGTTTTCTTATCAATATGGATCATGGTTAGATATGTTTTATTTTTATTATGTTTTTAGGGTACTTAAAAATTTGTAAAAGAGGTGTGTATATGTTTTTTCTCTCGTAATATTTTCAATTTCAACAAATCTTCTCAGCAATAATAATTTAAAGAGGCTTTTTCTTCTTTCTTTCTTTTTTATTAATACTTAAAATTTAAGTCATTATGCTTACCAATACAATTAACAACAACAAAAAAAGGGAGTCCAATTTCAGTTTTATCTCTTACTTTTAAAAATCTTTACTGTGTTAGCCATATGATTTACTTTTCTTTCTTTTTTTGTTAAAAACTCTATACGGATAGAACGGATAGAAGAGAAGAAAATCAAGAAAGAAGAAAAACGTGTTGCATATTTTATATATTCTTGATTTTGATTTAAAGAGTTAATTTTACCATATTGAAAGAAGAAAAGAAAAGAAAAGAAATGAACAAAAAAGAGAACAAGACTAGATGGTATAGAATTATTTCTTTTCTTGTTTCATTTATATTTCTACTTCATGATCTCCTATCGAATAGAGAACTTTTCTTTCTGAAGAAGAAAGAATATAAAAATCTTTTTGTCATATGTTGAGCACACGAGGACAAAATTCCTATTCAACAACATTTCTAAACAAAATTTATTCTGCAGAACACAAAAATCACATTAAACAGACAATTTGAAGAGCTGATTGATGCTTAAAAAAATCAAATATATTGATCAATTATACTCTCTCATTTTCTTTCGACCGCGTTCAATTTATCAGAGTTTCCGGTATTGTACTTCATATATTAATGATGATACTTCTCATCTCAGTTTAAACTCCTGTCTTATTTTTATCAATTCAAACGTTTTATTTGACAAATTTTATGTTATATTTTTTCTTTTTGTACTTAGCAACACAATTTATTCCAGCTGTGACTTATATGTATAGTGTATATAGAACACGTCTATACAAAAAAGAATCACAAAACATGGTCATCAATAAAAAAAAAAGAGGTCAAGTTTCACAGATAGCTATAGATATATATATTCTATTTTGTGGAAAAATAATAGGAAAAAAAGTATTTTTAAGAAAAAGTAAATTTGGGGCGCAAAACACAATGATAAAATTTTAAAAAACTGAATCAGAAGAGTAGACGAAACTGAGTTCGTAGAATAATATCTAGTCAGTGAACGAACGTCTATTCGGCAACAGCTATTATAACTAAATGAAATTTACTTTTTGACAGCATATAATGGGAGAAAGGCTGATTTGCTGTATTTTTTTAATAAAAATTCAAATACTTAAGAAAAAAAATTTTCATACTGTAATCTGAAGAATCACGGTCTATCACAAAACAATTTGATAATCATTTGTAAATCGAATATAGAACTGCTATGAACTGCTTTCATAGCAGTTCTATATTCGATTTACAAATACTTATTTCCAACTGCTCTACCAACAAATTTCATAATTTGATAATCAGTTACTTACATAGCCTGAATTCTCTGATAAACACTGTTCATTAAGTTCATTTTTTTGACTTTCATCATTACCAACTACTGGTGGATGCCAAAATGCTTGAACGATATCGGAAAGAACGATTCCCGGTTCAATATTCATTTCTTTTTTTTCCTTTTCATTGTTTTCGTTTAATAATGAGTTATTTGACATGATTATTGGTGATTTTATACTACTTTCATTATTTGTATCATGTTGTTGTTGTTGTTGTTGTTGTTGTTGTTGTCCATTTAATAAGGATGATTTTATTTTCCAATCGATTAATGCAGCATTAACAACACTCTTTTGTCGACTATTGGTTGCGTTTAAATTTATAAGCGTGTTGTTTAAGGTCAAAACAGATTTTTTAATAGGGGTCACTGACATTGATTCTCCATCTTCATCAGCTTCTTTTTTTTTCTCCTGTTCTTGTTCTTCATTCTTTTTTATTTCTGTTCCTTGTACAATTGTATGCACGAAATCATTAGTGTTATGTTGCTTTATTATTATTGGACTAGTTGAGAAACCATTTGAATGATTAACACTCGTACTATTAGTCGATGATGAACTGTTGCTAGTTGTACTCATACTGTTTATACTGTCGTTACTGATTGTATGATTGTTTGTATTTTCTTTTGTCTTTTTATTATTAGACAGATGCTGTTGATGAGAATGTGTATTTGGATGAAGATAATAATGACTGTAAGTAGTTAAAGTATTAATACCATTTGATTCATCTTGATTGACTTTATTCATGTTATCAGACGACAATAGTGATGGTGATAAAGATGTTGTTAGATTAGATGAATGTTTATTATATGCATCATTTCTTATTGTTTCGATGTCTTTATTAATAGTATTAGGTAATAATGCGGCTGTTGATGATGACAAAAAAAATGATTGTTGTACTGTATTATTGTTCCTGTTGTTATATAATACGTAGTCGGTTTTAGGATCAACTTTCATTGTATCGTTACCATTCTCATATTTTTTCAACGTTTCCACCGGACGAAATAAAAGACCACTTGAAGAACCATTGTTAATATACTTGAATAAATCATTTGCTGCACCGGGTCCATTTCGAGACGACATTGGCACTTCTAAACAGAGAAAGTGAAATAAGAGTGTGTATTCACTTTTAGTTATACACTTATTATTATTATTATTATACACTTGTCACTTTAAACAATCAATGTTATGTTAAATCTGATTTTTAAAGTAGTGTATTCAACACTCGTGTCGTGCATAATAACCAAAACGAATACATTAAAATTATAGGAACACAATCAAAGGAAAAACAGTGCTTTTTTTCATTTTACATAGTACTTTTTAGCACTCAATTTGGCACTAAGTGCTATGATTTCGTCTTAGGATGGCCGTTCTAATCTTGAACTTTCAAAAGACGTTTATTATCCTTAAAACACCCTTCCCCCTGAGAAAATTTTAGTATATGAAACGGCGCGTATACCCGTGAATATCGTGAAATGAACTGTGAACATGAACATCGTAAAATAGTGCGTGGGCACGCGTGAAAAATATATTCCACTTGTGACAACGCGTGAACTGCGCACGGAAATTTTTCGCTTCATATTTTTCGCACGTGGTCACTAGTGAAAGTCGTAAAACAGTGTGTGAACGCACGTGTAAAGAAATTCTCGCTTGTGAACACGTGTGAAATTATAGAAAGTTCATACGTGATCACGCATTTGATGTTACAACTGCACGATCCCAACATCGTAAAACGTTCATAAAATTTCCCCATGGAACACCGAGTCTATCGGCATAGAAAATAATTTATAAAATGTCTGCATTTAACGTTATATGTTTCCTTGTCCTATAAAATATATATCTACCAGCTTCATAAGTTAAATCGCATGAAAAGATTGATCATAATGTATTATGATTGAAAAAATAGTGTTAAGAGGTTACTACAACTTTCGGTACAAGGATCCAGTTAGGATGCGTGTGACCCCAGGATAGCTTACAACAAAAAACAGAAATTTGGACAATAGTTTTCATCGATTAACAGATACAAGCATGTTAAAAACATGATCGTCAGTTTGTACGCTTTTTTTAAAAATAAGTTATAACAATACTCTATCCAAATCTAAAGTCAGGCTAAAGTAAAGTTAAATTTTGAAATGTTCCAATGAGATATTATTGAGAGACTTTATTGTCATAATTATAGATGATCAAGTATGCTCTGTCCAAATATTACAGTTCGACGTTTAATAGACTAAAATTGACATCGTGGATAAAGAACTGATCTTTCTCTCTATAGTTTTTAGTAGTATTATTAAAGAGACTAGAATTTCTTACGCATGACATTTGCACAAGTCTTGTAATGAGCTGATATCTGAAACGAGTAGACATACTAAAAGTGAAAACTTCATGTGTTTTTCACAAAATCTTTTTTAACGTGCGTTAAACTAGTAAAAATTCAAGAAAAATACATAGAGAATCCATAGAAAAACTGAAGAAGCTTTGCTGGTTGCTCGTTGGTTGAAGCCTATCGACTGTTATCTTTCGATCGCTTCAACAAAAAAACAGAAAGGGAAAATGTTCAGCACAAATAATAAATACTTATTTGTTCGTCTGCATTGTGCTAGACGTCAAAACTTCTCTTCTGCTATACGCGGCCGTCACCATGAGTAAAGAGAAAAGTTCCTCAGATAAATAACAACTTTTACACTAAAAACTGACGATATTCTTTGTTACGTTAGTGTAGATGTTAGGAAAAACACTGTTTCTATAATTTCTGGTAGTTAAATTAGTGAAGTACTGCTGAACACTTGCGCACTTCTTACCGTTTCCTATTGTATGGTGACATTTGTCGTTTGCTGTGATTTGACTAGCTGTTTGTGATAACACTAATTTTGTTTTCATATCGTTTATTTCATTCGAACCAATTGTCAATGATATTGAATTTCCATTTTGTGTTGCCACTGTATTTCCTATTTTTATTGGATTCACAATCGTTTCATCTGCACTAAGTCGTTTTGATATTCCTTTTGTTTTAAAACGTTGGGCACATATTTGTGCTGATGATGTACGTTTAAGATGAAATTTACTATCCTTGTTATTTTTGTTCTGTTGCTGACGTTGTTGTATATTATGAGTCATGTCAGACTCATTTTTCTTTTTAGACGACAATATATCAACACTATCCTTTTTATTGTCACCAGTATGGGAATCTGTTGTGATGATAGCATCTCCATTACTGGTACGTTTTGATACTGTCGTACTGGCAAAACGAAGTAGACCAAGTAAACGTTTCGATCGAGAAGATTGTGTTAATGTTTTTTGTTGTGATGATTTATCTGCTACATTAATAACAGTCAATGATGCACTCTTATTATTTTTCAATAATAAATTATTGGACGACATGTTAATATTGAGATTAATTGCAGCGGGCTGTTGTTGTTTGATATAAATAGAAGACGACTTAATTTGATCATCTGGCTGTTCTCGATAATTGTTAGCGCTACTGATACTGTGCTGTTGTTGATTAAATAAAGGTTGATGTTTAGATTTTAGTCGAAAATTAAAATCGTAATTATTATCAGATAGAAATCGTTTTTGATTAATATCATTTACACCTAAAAATAGTTAGAGTTAGAATTATTAAAAAAGATATGAATTATAAAAGATAAGAAATGTTTATACTTATGTCTTATTTTGATCAGCTAATAATGAAGAGAGAATGACAAGGAAAAAGAAAATATGAAATTGATAGTTTTATTTAGTATGATATTCAAAGAAAATTATATATTATTGCAATGGTGATTGAGACACAAAACTATTTAGTTTCTATCGTTCACTCGCTATCCAACATCAGAAGCATACAGTGAAGGTAAAATCTGCTGATGATGCATACACCTACCATTATTACGATTTTGTTCATCAGATTCTTTTTCTTTTTGCTGTAGTTGTTTAGTCGGCGATAATATTGTTGAATTAAGAATAGGAAAGAACGGAGAAGAAAAAAAAGAGTTATTGTTTGTGGTCATCGTTGTTGGTAGTGGTGTTGGTACGGCGGCCGACGTTATTTCATTTTCAACAACTCCTCCTGTCAAAATGATATTATCCTTTTCTTTTTGTTTTAATATTGATGATGAAGAAGAAGAAGAAGAAGAAGAAGAAGGAACAAAAAAATTGTTCATTTTTTCAATATTGTTCAATGATGATGGTTGTGGTGATCTCGCAACAATATTGTCTGATGATATCTTTTCATTTTTATAAATTTTTTTATCTTTATCATAATTAATTTTATATTGTCCAATATTGACATCAACAAAATCATCTTTGACCATTTGAATAGATGGTTTTTCAATTATTTTTCTATATGAATTTTTATTTTCTAATATTTTTGAACAAAGAGGATAAAATAGTGGTTGTATTTCAGTTGTTAAATGGCCATAAAAATGTACTGGTTTTTTTCGACATTTAGACTCATCATCGGTTAACTGTTTCCTTTGATTTGATGATGTTATTATTCTATTTTTTGATGTATCAATCAAATCTTTGCAATGTGTACTAGAAAGAAAAATACTGATTTAGATATACCACTTTTAGGTGAAACAATGAATTTAAACAATGTCTATCACTCTTTTCAAACAAGTCATTGAATTAGATGTGTCAATTGACGCTTTAACATTCGAAGTATGTACAAACAATTCTAAGTTGGATGTGAGAAAAAGTAAAACAATGATACGTTCAATCAAAGATTCAATTTTTTGTTTACTTGAAAAGACTAAATTAAATTTATTGTCATATAAAAATAAAATTTGTTGCCACTCATAAATTTATTTTAAAACACTTCTAAATTTATTTTTCTTATTTACTTATTCTTAATCATATGAAGAAAAGTAAACTTTGAACGGATGGAAAAAGAAAAATTGTTGACAGTTGACACACATAGACAATGGGGGTGTTAAATTATTAGTTCTCCCTCTTTCTCTCTCTCTCTCTCTATATATATATATCGGGTACACATAGACAATAATCACATTCACTTACGATTCTGTTTGATGTGTTGTATCTAATCCTTCAACAAAACAATTTTTTTTCTCAACGATTAAATCGGATAGAGGCAAAGAAATTTGAGACAACATCGATGATGAATTTATTATGTGATTATGTTGATAATGGTGATTAGACGGCGGTGACAACAATTTAGGTGTACTCATTATTCTATTAGTATATTGATTTAAGGATGATGATGATTTTTGTTCATGACCTTTTTTGTTTTGTTGTTGATCTGATTTAATGAACTGTTCATTATTACCATTACTATCATTTTTATTGTAATATGATCTTGATCGTTTTTTATGATAATCACTTAAATTTCGTTGATTTATGTTTAAATCAGATTGTTGTTCCTGTGATATTAATCGTCGAGAATGAGTTGATTTAACCAAACGCGTTGGTAAATCAATGTATCGTCGTTGTGCACAATTACTATTTGATGTTGTTGATAATAAACGTCTTGCCGTTAAATTTTTAGCAGTATTATGTAGATCATTCGTATTTGTAACAAACGATGAAGATGATCTATCGGGTGAATCATTGAGAAAATCACTATTGTCTAATGATGAAGTTTGTGGTTTAATTGTTGAATAAGAACTTCTAAGAGTATCAATGGGTGATGAAGATGGTAATTGATGTGGAATATTGATTTTATCCAATGTTTTCATTAAAAGTTTACAATCTTTGGAATTTGACTAACGAAGAAAAAAAGAAGTTAATGTTTAAGAAATGTATTCATTGTTGTCGTTGAAAATACTTACCATAACTAGATAATTATTTTTTTTATTTGTATTAATCGACGGCGAATGTCCATACGTTTCTTCGTATAAACTTTGAGCTCGTGTTGATCGTATTTCTTGTTGTTTGTAATATTCATGATCTCTATTATTGACAGTCATAAGCAGTTTTGATTTACATCGTTTTGAATTTTCTGTTGATGGTAAAGATATTTTTGATGATGATTCATTATTATTCCAACTAGAACATTTTTCTTCCAAACTTTCTTTTTCACTATTTAATATTTTTAATTTTTCCGTATAAATATATTCATTTGAGGATAATTTTGACGGTTTTGTATCTAAATTCGACATCATTTCTATGTATGGTGATGTTTGATATTCATATGACGGTACCGATTGTTGATCGACATGATTTTTTTTATTTCCACTTTCACGACGAAATACACGACATAGAAGACCAGATTGTTGTTTTAATTCATGAAGTTTTTCATCAATTATTTTTGATGTTGTTTCACATGCATCAATTAAAATTTTCTTATTATTATTAATAGAATCATTTAGAATATCAAAATTATAATTTTTAAAAATATTTTCCTGTTTTTGTTTTTGATCAGTTGTTATAGATTTATTAAATCGCATTGTTAACAGTTCAATATTTGAAGAAGAAAAAACTGCGTTTTTATCTAATATTCATGACTGGTTTCGGTTGTTCTTTTCTCATTACTGTTGACCAACAGACATAATAAGCAACACTAGAAAACAAGACAAACATGAATTTGAAACTATTATACAATCATTTCTTGCTCGATGAAATTAATTGTCTATTTAGATTTAGTAGCAAAAATGTTCAGTGTCCTACTGAGGCGGACAGTTGGATATGCTAAATTGTAAAAAGTAATAGCGAAACACGTTTCATAAAATAATGGATTGAAAGGTTTTACTCGACAGAGAGTGACATTAAGTTTGTTGAGATTCATTTAGAAAATATTTGATGAAGAATCTAAGTTAGAATAAATCTCAGCTATGCACAGAAAAGGATATAGATTTGTGTTTTTTGTGTTCTGCAAACATTTTTTTAAAGGACGAAGTTGTAACATCAATATTATGAATTGTTTTAGGGAAATTAGGCGCGTTTCTTCGTTTATTCTTCTTGTTAGGCGATTCTTGTTTTATTCTAATTCCGTAAATCATAGGAATAAGCAAACAATAATTTAAATAGCATTTTCATATTCTCTAATTCGTCCAAGGATGGTAATATCGAAATATTTTATTAATATACCAACAGAGGGTATAATTTCTCACTGGACCACTTGTCCTCATTTCTATATGGCCTGAAATATCATTCAATCTTTTGCATAAAATATTTAAACTTGACTTGTTTCATGTACTACCTTTTCTACAACTAAATCATATGTGAATTTGGATGGGATTATCTCTCGTTAAAATGTTTCCTTATTCCAACAGAAGGCGACTATCAATTATGTCTATTTGAATATTTTTGATATTATAAGTTTATAACTTCAAGCGATTGAATCAAAATGAACTAATACAAATCTTCATTCAATGTATAAAAGAAACTATACTTTTCAAACTTTACAAAAATATGCAATGAAATATCGCTGGACTTCTTTATATTATTCATTCAGTACATATCCCAGCAGAGGTATAGTGAATTAACTACTTTGAAATATTTTTGACTTTCTAATTTTATCTAAACAATAGATTGTTACTATACTTATTCATTCACCATTTTCTTCTATCTGACATGGACGGGACCAGAAAAAAATTTAATGGGACCGGAACCGGTCTGAGAAAATTTTTTGAAAAATACATCGGAACGGGACCAGCGCTGAAAAACATTTTGACTGAGACCGAAACCAAAACTCAGTGGTTCCGCCCATGTCTAATTCTCTTACATTACATATTGCATAAAATACTTAAATTTTCCTACAAAATATTCAAGGTTTTCTCTGTGCAAATCATTCAGCACTAACATGCTAGATTTAGCCAAAAGTTACCAGAATGATGACATTTATTACATTTCTCTTTACCATACAGTCGATCATTTATTTTTTATAAAATATCTCACATGAATCATCAGAGAGACTGGAGTAAGCATCGACTAGAAATCGCATATTTTAGTAAGAAATTTACTAAAATTTTTCTCAAATTTCACGATTATCTAAGATCTTGCTAAGATTTTGCTTACATTTGTCTAAGATCTTTGACAAATCTCATAAGATACAGGATTCTTTGTCGAAGATTGTTTTAAGATCGAATGAGAGTCTGTTAAGATCTTATGAAGAATCATCTTGTCTATTAATGATTTACTAACACATTTTGACTCTCTTGTCTATGTGTTGATAACCTTCTTCTACATGTCCTACTGCTCGTTTAAATCTGCTATCCCACATTATCAAAACTGGCAACTGAACAGACTTTTCCAGTGTTATTTATAGAGATGCATAAGAGCAACACAAATGGGTGAAGCATCAAATCTTGATTAAGATCTTTAAAAAGTAATATCTTACACGATCTTCGTAAGATAATCTAAAGAAGTGTCTGAAATTGTTCCAGGAGTGTGTAATTTCTCCGTTATTATGCTAAGGTAAGGATGAGGCAACTGAAAGATATGCACAGTTCTTTTGTTCCTCTAGTTGTCTCACCATTTTCTGTATTGTTACAAATATCAGCGAAAAAGGACATACACCGTCGTCATAATTCTCTTGTTATTCATTCTTTACCCTTGTACACATTTCATCTGTATAAACAAGACCTTGATAGATTCGCCTCCGTCTCGCTGAATTGTGCGTTTTTCTACCAAACGAATTGTATAGTATAACATGCTTTTGAGAAAAACTACGAAATTTAGGAAGTTCGGAGACATAGATGGAAATGTCATTGTAAACAAACAATGTATTTATTCGAATAACAACAGATTTTCACAACGAGAAGAACTAAGGAGAAAAAAACGGTCTTTAGATGGCATCAACTAACCTGTTCTACAATTTGGTAATAAATATATTACATTATTAACAGAACAATGTACTGACTAAACAGGCTTTTTTTGCGGCCCGTTTTGGGTGCAATATTTCATATTTCATCGTATCTACTCTCGGAAAGAGTATTAACTATTTTTTTCTCTTTGTTTTATTCAAAGATAAAGGGGTTTAGTCAATACAAAACCTTATACGACTTTTATTGGGGTTTCATGTAGTTTTGACAATTCAACAGCAGTTCTTAGCCAATTTTACAAAAAATTTTACATGTTTTCATGTAATTTTCAGTGCTTTTCACGAAAAAAGGATGAAAAAACTGAACGTACTCTTTTTAGCGGAAAAAATGAAAATAAGATATAAACGGTGTCAGAAACTATATAATACAAGTTCTTATCTATTATTGAACTTACAGTAGTCTACTAAAAGAGCGCTCAATGACTGCGAAAAATCAAAAAAAAAAAAAACGATAAATAATGTGACAAAACTAATTAATCTTCTTACCTTGAATCAAAAAATCTGAAGGTTTTCAAAATGATTATAAAAACTTCTTGACTTGAAGAAGTCAAAAAAAATTACCTCTTATTTTATTTATAAGAAACCCTTATTCATTTTTGAAGAGATAAATATAAATAAACAGAAAAAACACTGTTCATTGCCTTTTTAAAAGAGAACAGAAGAAACAGATGAGTTGAGTCTAAATCTCAACAAACTAATTTCTGCAAGTTATAGAGGGACTTCTTTTGTCTGATTATTATAATGACTTCATTATTTTTTTTTTGCTCTTTTTCTGACAGACATACAGTGTAGATACCAGAACGAAACAAAAAAGAAATATGAAAATAAATGATCTTATTCAAACGATATCAGAAAATATAACGATAGTAAATCATATATCGTGAAGGGCAAGTTATTGAAAAAGAAATCAAATATGAGTCATTTGAAATTGATCAAAAAAAATTGCGAGAAACTATACATAATTATTTTAAACGTGCTTACAAAGTTTCTAAAGCTCTTCTATATCAAATAATTAGTCAGGGAATGATGTTTATTCTAATTATTATGAAAACAAACAGTAAACTTTACGGTCTTAACAAAACCAACAATAGTCTGAACCAAAAGGGAGAGCGGCACACTCTAATGCCACATAATCGAATTATTATTCAAATTTGTTTATAATGTGTACAGAAATGTATTTAACATAACAAGGATTTAAGATAATTTGTGTCTTCAACACAGTGATGACAAATAGTATTAAACGTAAAAATTATCAAACCTGGTTACTTAAAACAAATAATTTAATTTTATTAGAGGGCGTGGTACCAGCTAATGATTAGAAAAAGATTGAAAACCTATGAAAATTTTTTGTTTTTTTAGCATTAAAAGACATGAAACCATTGAATTTCATATTACTTCTAAGAGAATATTGTTTAATTTCACTCGTTCTTTAAAAAAAAAGAAAAAACTTGATCTATCTGGTTAATCGTATACACAACAACGTGAAATATTTGAACAATATGAAATAAAACTAATTTACACTTATTCCTGTTGTACAAAGAATATAATAAACATTATTATATGCATATTGTCTATTGAACAAGAGAGTTTTAATTGAATTCAATTTTCATAGACTTTGGGCATAAAAAAATTAAAATGAAAAAAATGTATTCATAACACTCAGTCTTGAACTTAAAAATACTTGAAAGGTAGAACAATGAGAATGGCAGATTATTTTTCAACAGAGATATGTATTGTTGATGGAAAATATAAGAAATGTTTCTCTATCAAAATTCATTTTTCTTAGAGAATAAAAAATTTCTTAAACCTTTTGACTAACAGCATAACACAAAGAGAACGAATTCAGAGGTCCAAGTATAACTCCTACAAAAAAAATTTTCAGTACAATATCGGTGCAACATTGATTTTTACCAGTGCCGCACCGATGTTACAATGAAATTTTGTTTTTAAACATCAGTGCGATACTGAAAATTATTTTGTCAATAATTAGTTTTTATCATAGTTGCTTTTATCTATTTTGTATTAATCAGAATCCAACACTGATACATATCAGTGCCACGTTGTCGTGGCATAACCATGTGGCAAGACCTCGGTATTTCTCTTATAAAAAGGAAACGATAAAGTCAAAAATACAATTGAAGTTTACTATGTTTTTTATATAGACGGACATTGACACAACAAAACGGTGATTAAAAAATAATTCCTGCATCGTTGTACACCGGTGCCAAAAAGAGTGTAAAATTCTCATACCAATACCCAGAAAAAAAAAATATATTCGGCATCACATGCGTTACACGTGCACAACCAATGCTGGGAATCTATTACTTCGTCGAAATATGCTAAATATTTAGACAACTAAAAATAAATCTATACTATTTGTTAATCGATTAATTAAATTTTTGAAGTATTTAATTTGATATTCTTAACTCTCTATGTGTATTTGATCTATGCAAGCTTATTTCTTTTCTACTTTAAATTAATTTACTCGTAAAATTGTCATTATCGTAGTCAACCAGTCAACATATCTATCATATATTGTAAAAAGACATTTTCACAACTAATTGATTATTCTATATATACATGGTCGGTCTAAGTATCGTTATCGTTGATGGCATTTGCGATACA